TCACGGTCTCTCCTGCCCGGGCTGGCTTTGAACTGTGATCCTCAGATCTCAGCCTCCTGAGTAGCTAGGATTACAGGCGTGAGCCACCAGCGCCCGGCTTCCGCTCTCTTGTGAGGAAGGAGTATCTATCCATTCATTGTCTTTCCTACATCAGTTCATGAGGTACCTCTATGCCTGTCATAGGCTGGCCACTAACATCAGCCCCACACAGGACACTCTCCCATACCACGTGTTTGGCAAGCAGCAGCCAGTTGCTCCTATGCGAGCGGTGCAGTACTGAAAGATGTCAGTGTCTAGGGCCTGGCTCAGGGTAGCAGGAAAAGATTAACCTTACACACCGAAGAATTCAACCTCTGGAAAGACCCCAAGTGAGCATTCCTCTAATTTAAGATGCTTTGGGGAGCTTCAAGGATGCACAGCCTAACACCCATCTGAGTGTCTGAGGAGGGTGGGGCAGGGAGGACTTCCTGGAAGAAGGAACCTGGAGTTCAGTCAACAAAGGTGTAGGGTGAGTCACTCAGGGTGTGGAAGTGAGTCGTGAGCTTTGAACCACCACTGTGGTGGGCTCCCAGACTTCCAGGAGGCCAGGGACAGCTCGCACGCCTAGTATAGGAAGCACAGGCCCAGCTGAGGCTGGAGGGCACGAGGGGGCCTTCGTCCATTTTTTCATTTGCACAGATGGTGCTGGTGAACAGAGTAGAAATAGAGATGGAAAACCACCATACCTACTTTGGGAGACATGTCAGTGCCCATAGACCAGACAGTGGGGAGAGACATGAGAAAGTTGGAAATCAAGAACAGCATACTTTATAAATACCTAGACAAAAGAGAGAGGTTTTAAATCCAGGGCTGGGGATGTAGCCCCGTCAGCAGAGCACTTTGCCTAGCATGCAGGACACCCCCTTCCTTCCCCAGCACCACAGTGGAGTGGATACAGACAGATAGACAGACAGACACACACACACACACCAAAGTGATAAGGACCAGTGGAAGACTGCTGAATTAGTTTAGGAGGTCCCACTCAGTAAGCTACACCAGTGCAGGAAGTCTGGGCTGGGGTCTGACAGACTAGGGAAGCAGCAGCAGCCCAGTGAGAGACTTCCCTCTGAGTCCCTGGTGGAAGCAGTCAAGCTGGGGGGCGGGGGCAACCGGACTGAGGGAGAGTGACAGACAGCCTGCTCCCAACGTCCCCTCAAGCAGGCAACCAATACATGGCTCAATTTCTTATAAATTTATTACATAATAATATTATAATAATTATCAATAATAATAATATAAGAAACATAGATCTCTGTGGGGTGTATCACAACGTCAGGGTCAGGAGGCCTCAGGGCTGGAGCAGGGGCGAAACCCCTGGATGGAACTCCATACAAAAGGAGGGGTGAAGCGGAACTGACCCTGTAAAGTTAAAAACCCAAACTGAACGGAACCAAAAACCCACAGGTGAGTGTGAGACTGAGTGTGTATGTGGCAGTCTGTTACAGGGACTGCTGTGTGACCTGGTCTGTTAGTGAGCGTTAGTGGGTGTGACTCTGTGCCCAGGGAAGGGGGCCGGTGGGCCAGGGTGGGGCGGGCACAGGCCGGCGTGCCAGGCCCCTGGGCTGTGAAAACATCTGTTTTCTGTCTTTTTTTAAAACTTTTTATTAAAAAAAGCTAGAAATATAAACAGAAACTTGTGAGTGACGTGGATGGAGCTTAGTCTAGACTCCAGACCCTAGGTTAAAAACGTCCCGGCCCCACCCCACAGGTCATTGCTGACTGTGAGGAGTCACAGTAAGGGGCTGGGGCACGCTCAGGGATCTCTGACTCTCCACAGGGCTTGTGGTAGCCTGACTCTAGGGGTCCCCCACAGTCCCCCTCGCAAACCCAGAGGCCCCTGGGGCCTCTCCAGGCAGCAGGGAGTCACCAAGGACACCTGCTCAGGCCGGGTGAGGCTCTGGAGGGCAGGCTGGGCAAACAGTAGGACCCAAACCCAGGGCAGCCTTTCTTTGGCAGAGGCGCAGACCCACGCGTGCGCCCTGGGCCCGCGCCCCGGTCCCCGC